CTTTTGCCCTGTGTTCATGCAGACATCTTACCCCAAAGATCTAATTTTACATTTTCACACTGAAAGAATAAAATGTACCGCTCTACACAACCACCTCCCCAAACATCATACATTTAAAAAAAACAGTAACTTTTCTTGTACAACTTAGTATAAATATAAAGACAAACAATTTGACCCCAGAAAGCTTCTGGGGAATAAATCCCAAAAATGCAGTGATCCAGAAGTAATTGCAAACTAAACTAAACTACAGCCATTCAGTAAATGCTTCAAACTCTTCCTAGAATTGTGAGCTTTCAGTGCTTGAGATGTCATCAAAGTGATTCAGAGTGGTTGGATGTGAAATGCTCTATTCTAGAGAAACTTATTGAGTCAGATACCTTTCCAGTGGTGGTGATGGGAACCAGGGGTCACAATATCTACAACACAAATATAGCCATTTTATTCACTATCCAAAACCAGCAGTGAACCGAGATGTATCTTCTGAGCTTTTATATATAATAATGATGGTAAAATAGTGGAAAATCTGAAAAAATAAGTTTTCTTTGGAGACGTACATGGTGTTGTAAGACATTTGTTTAAAGAATTAAAACAAATATAAATATGGTTTAGAACAATGTAATAACATTCTATGAGGGAGCTTTTAGAGGTGGACGTCTGGTTCCCATCACCACCACTGTGAACAATTCTGACTTGGTTTCTCTAGAACAGAGCATTTCACACCAAACCACTCTGAATGACTTTGTTTACATCTCAACCATTTAATTATGCAGAAATTCTGAAAAATTAGTGGAATTCCCCTTTAGTCACCCTCAGACAAAAATGTGCACCCTTCATGCTTGAACATGCCTCTTGCAGTGATGTTTATTATTACTACAATATTTTTTTTTCCATCCACTGTAAGAACAAGCATGCCAACCCGGTCCTCGCTAACATCCATATCGTCCTTTAACATTCTGATGCATTCAATTTATTCATTGAAAAAGAAATAAAACAGCAACAGCATTGTGCTGAATTGGTATTTCTGGGGCGAGTAAATGAGATGGACGAATGCTCACTACATCAAATGCTAACGTCTCTACAATAGAAATGCCACGATGATGAATGAGGAGACGTTTTAAAGGCATTTTAAAGCAGCCAGTTTGAAAAGCCCTTTCGGTTCAGTCAGACTTTACCACCATCTTTCTCTGATTAGTAAATCAAATAACTTACAGTAATCGCAACATGACCTTTCAGTGGAAAATGTTACGACTTGAATTCACGCTGCTGTTAGAAAACAGTACCGCTGGAACAGAAGTCAATATGCATAACTGAACAGAGGGGAATCCTCCTACGTCTTCAGAAAAAGTCTAATTATTTCTAGGAAATAAAAATACATGTTTGTAATGTTTAGGCCACTTTTATTTATATTTTTTTTAACAACGGTTAACAAGCATTTCCCATGCTGAGTTCTCTTCCTCAAAACTCTTCACTCAGTTAGCACAACAACACTCTGTTTGGACCATAAGTCTCAGCCTTTACCAAACCTGTGTATTTCTGGAGCTCAAACTGCAAATGCTTGTTACAAACCAGTAAGCCTTAAAGGGGAACTCCCCAGATTTTCCAAAGGTTCCGCATAATTAAATGATTAAGATGTAAAAAAAGGTGTGAAATGCTCCAGTTTAGAAAAACTTACAGAGTCAGAATGGTTCACAGTGGTAATGATAGGAACCAGACGTCCACCTCTAAAAGCTCCCTCACAGAAAGTTACTACGTAAAATGGTTATGAATACACTTCCTGATGTCTGAGACATTGTTTTGAGAAGGTTGTTGTCTATTCATGCTGGAGAGGTACATACAGGGCATTTTAAGGCAAAACAGACCTCATCATCATCAACATTACATATAAAAACTCAGAAGACTTGTGTAGGTTCACTGGTGGTTTTGGATAGTAAATAAAATGGCTATATTTGTATTGTAGACATTACGACCCCTGGTTCGTATCACCACTACTGTAAAGAAATCTGTGTCTCCAGAATAAACTACATCAAACCACTCCAAATGACTTTGTTTGCATCTCAACTACTGAATTATACAGACATTTAGAAAAACTCCAAAACAGAATATAAACTGAAAATAAACTGCAGACCAATTTGCTAAATTACAAATACTATATTGGACAACAGCCAAAGCCCAAATAATGTTAATACTTATTGAAACAAACTGCTGGTGGAATGTGTGTAAATAGGTCAGTCACAACTGATTCCCATCTGTGCTGAAGTTCTACCCAGGTGCTGACCATCTATAAAAGGGGCCACTTTTTGTTTACAATGGATGGTCTGGATGGTCCATTATGGGCCCAGAACAATGTATAGACAAGAGAGGATTTAGGTGTGGGAGTAGTCGAATAAACCAAACCAGGTAGAGTGAGCATTTTCAGTATCTGTGACATTTTCTTTGCTAGATTATGTGAAGTACTGGATTTGTTTAGTTTCTTTTGTTCTTTCTCTCTTTGTTCTTTGTTTCTTCATTTGTTCTTATACAATAAAGATAAACCATTCTGTTTTGTATGTTTTTTTTCTGATGTAATGATTCTTTAAGTTCACTTTAACCCCTTAAAAAGGCAGGGCCCAAAGTTTTATTACACAATTCTATAACCTAACAAATAGCTCCACCACTTTGCATTGAAGTCCCTGTAGTTACTGAATAATAAGTCTTAGTTTGTAGTAGGTCTGGGATTTTAAAGGGTTAAAAATTGGGTGGTCAGTTCAAATAAAAAAAATAAACAATTCATGTGGTAACAAGTAATTAACCCCTTAACAGGCCATGCGCCTGCTGGCAGGCCCACAGTTTTATTACACACTTCGATAACCTAAGAATAGCTCAGCCAGTTTGCACTGAAGTCTCTGCACTTACTGAATAATCCCTTTGTATCTAATAAGCCTGGGATTTAAGGGGTTAAACTGGTTTTATTCAACTCAAATAAACACTTTTAATGAAACAATTCAAATTTAATTTTAGATGAACAAAATGAATGTTTTATATCAAGTCATATCAACTTCTGTCCTTTTCCACTTTTTACAATATAGTTTACATGATCAGCTAAATAACAACAAACTAATCACAACACAAAATTACACAGCAAATAACTCTGAAAGTCAAATAACTCTAAGTGTTTCTGAGGTGATGGTGCTGTGGTTGACAGAGTATTCCTGTTGAACAGTACTGTTGATATTTTTATGGAAGTAATTCATTTTGAGACGTTTCTACAGTTTTTTTCTAACTGTAGAGCATTTTGGGTAAAATGAACTGTCGCGCCGAACTGCATGCTTCTGCTGAGGGGGGTGTGAAGAGTTTTGAAAAAGTGAACCTGGCACTGAAAAATGCTTCTTAGAGATTGTAAGAAACAGTAATATAATCATATCTGTTGTATTTAAACTCTGCAAGTATTTACTTGATAATATTAACAATTTGAATATTAGTAATGTGGTATCTACGTAGATACAGCCCAGCGAGCTTTCCCATTGGTTAGGACTTCAGGAGCAGGATAGAAGGCCTTACACAACCTTTATAATTAGGAAGTGACAGAGGAATCAGCCAGTCATGCTTTGATTCACAATGGGGCCAATTTACAGGCCTTCTGGAGGTTCTAGATAAGCCTCTGACTGTGAATAAGAGTCACAGTCTAAGCACATTTTTGTTAATTGTTAGAAGTCGAAAACAGTGGCTGCTGCCCTGAGCCAGACCTCTTTAGTGAAAGAGTCACCCTAAAGCTGATACGTACAAGCTCAAATATATATTAATGTCGGTTACAACCTTCAAATAAATCATATGGAATGTCTTTTGCAAGCTTGACACGTCTGTGTTTAATCTAGAGAGGACAAAATGTGTTAATGTGCACCAGCGATAGTTGAGCACTAACAAACTATTAGGTGGGCGCTAGCAGAAATTAGCATTATTGTAGAGACATTTTTGGCCCGAACTGAACGCCTAGCTCTAATAGTCACTGCTCATCACTGTAACTGTATATACAGGGGAACACTTGTGTAAATGTGTAATTGATAAATCTCTCCAAATATGAGATTTTCATCAAAATCCATAAAGTACAAAAAGCTCCACTGTCCTCTCTCTCTAAACCTCTCTGCCTGAACGTACACAATTCTCTATAATGAAATCACAATCTGTGTAATTCCAAACAGGCCAGCAGAGCCAGGACAGATCCTCAATCAGCTAAATAACTCTAATCCCTATAAGCACAGAGAGAGAGAGACAGCGAGAGAGAGAGAGCGAGAGAGAGAGAGAGAGAGAGAGAGAGAGAGAGAGAGACAGCGAGAGAGAGAGAGCGAGAGAGAGAGAGAGAGTGAGAGAGAGAGAGAGTGAGAGAGAGAGAGGGAGAGGGAGAGAGAGAGAGAGAGTGAGAGAGAGAGAGTGAGAGAGAGAGAGGGAGAGGGAGAGAGAGAGAGAGTGAGAGAGAGAGAATAGTGAATGGTGAATAAAGAGAGAACAGCAAAACACAAAGTGAATAGTGAGAGAGAAATAGAGTGGGGAGAAAGAGAATGAGAGAGAAACAGTGAGAGCTGGGAAAGAGAGACAGCATGAGTGGGAGGGGGAGGAGAGAGAGGGAGAGGTAGAGGAGAGAGAGGTTTAGCCCTCATACTGGGCTTTTTTTTTCGATGTTTTTTCCTTGTTTCTGTAATCTGTACAAACACAAATGTAATATGGATTCGGGCTTCCACACAATTTCTCTGCTTGTTTCAATGAGCTACGAGTCAGAAGTAATTCATATAAAATTACAGCATGATTTTGATATCGCCAACACTATCTGTGACTGTAATGCTCTATAGCGTCAGAGCTAACCTTTGGAAAGCAAGAGACTGACATCAAATCCAGCAACGGCAGTGCTGCATTTCTTTTTTAAAGATATAATAAACAGAACTAGAGAAGCAATTAACGCTCTTATAAAGTGCTGCTGACGCCTAAAGACATGACGCAGGTGTCTGTGAGTTACTTTTAGTCAGTCTTACCTTGGTAACTGTAGATGTCTCCTACGCTGTTCTGGCGCGTGATATGATGCCAGTAAGCGCTCCGAGGAAGAGATATCGACTTCGTTAATGTGTTCTCGCTCGAAAGGGTCTAGAAACAGAAGCATAAAATCATTACATCGCATTAATTGCATCTCTAGTCACATCAGCTTCTGAGCCAGCACTGGAGTGATTTCAAAAACCATCAGACACTCAATATCCCTCCATTAGGCTGCTTTGATCACGTCTTAGAAGAAGCTGCAGAGTAGTTACATGACAGAAAAATTTTTATTTATTTTTTACTTTCTTCTGCTATTTAACACATCAAAAGTTGTAAATACCCATGCAGAAAATAAATGTATTTATCAAATACATAAGTGTGTTTATCAAATGCATACAAACATGTACAATAATGGCCAAAATAGTTTTAGTCTTGTTGTATGTTAGTGTTTGGAATACAATTTGGAACATATTTGAAATATGTTTTATATTGTGTGAATTATTCAGTATCTACTACAAATGATGAACAATTGAGAATCCACTATGAATTAAGCAGTCTCTATTAGGAACAATTCAGTATCTAGTATGAATGATTCAGTAGCTACTATGAATGATTCAGTATCTGCTATGAATTATGCAGTATCTACTATGAATAACTCGGTGCCTATCATAAATGTTTCAGTATCTATAATGAATTATTCAGTCACAATTCAGTATCTAGTATGTATTATTTAGTATCTATTAGGAACATTTCAGTATTTACTATGAATGATTCCGTATCTACTATGATCAATACAGTATCTACTGTGAGTGATTCAGTATGTACTATAATCAATTCAGCCAAATAAAGTGTCACCGAATGATTCTGTATCTGTTATGAATTATTTATTATATTATTATTATTATACAGTAACTTTAGAAATTTCTTCAGTATTCAGTAACTTTCAGCAAAGCTGACTGTTGTCTCAAGTTCTCCTTTGTTACACTCATTTGTATTGTTTGGAAAGGTAGGTGTCCCCAAACATTTGATGGGCAGCGTAGGCCTACATAATATCTAGTTGCATGAGGCCCTAAATGGTGAATATCTGTAATATTTGCTGTAACCTGCGCATTTTTCTCCATCTCCAGCATCATTCTCTCGTGCTGTTCGGCGATGCTCAGTGTGGCGGCATGAACTCTCTGATATATCACCTCTCCCTCTCGCGTCTGGAACGTGAACAATCCTTCTCCCGTATCGCACATCCTGCAAAACATATGCAAGAAAGGCAAGCGCTACAGCACAAATTTACACCTCCTCCTTAAGCCAGCACAGAGGTGGCGTTTCTTCAAGTGACAAAAATCACACAAGCTCTGGAAGCATTGCTCAGAATGAGGCTGCACAGCTTACTAACACCACAGAGGGTCTATTTATTGTGACGTGCAGTTCATTTACACTCCAGATAAAGCGTAGTGGAGTCGGCTCTTGGCCCGAGGGTTGAGCAAGGTCAGATAATTTATGCCGTCTTCACATCATAACACAGAAAATGAGCTCATATCAGAGCGGCTTCATTCAGCAGTGCCTTTACTGCGCTGCTCCTTCATCCTAGCGTTTAATATTCTGTCCCTCTTCCCCTCAAGTGCCCCTAAACTGGTTTGAAAGATCGTTATGACACTACGTCGCTCAGCAGTGATTTAATACTTAAAAACAGGAGAAAAAGCAGCTTCATGTAGTCTGTCCTAATGTCACTGTTTTCTAATGAGTGAGGTTGTAGATTTGATTTGATTTGAAGGAATGTGCCTATGTAAATTCAGCACTCTCTCATGCATTATGACTGTTTTGTTACATAAAATCACACAACTTTTATAAGTGGACTGAAAAAATTGTTACTGAACGATAAGCCTAATATGTAAATATCCTGGGATTTTAAAGGGTTAATTCCCCAGACGTTCATGTTAAGAGACCACAACTGGCTCCGTGAGACTAAGACAGCCTGAGTTACTCAACTATCTAATGTTCCCTTTATGACTTACATACCGCTAGCCAACTTTAGCCTGTTTGTTTATTCAGCTTAATGCTAACATAGCGTTGTAAATCAAACAGGAGCACTAGTGACAATTAGCTTTATTGCAGTGGAGGAGTTACAAGGTCTTCTTAGAAAATTGATGATATGAGGTTTGGACTGTGTATACTGTACCTGCCAGACTCGAAGGTGAACCAGGTGGAATCTCGGCCGTACCGTCGTAGTGAGCTGAGCGGCCACATGACTAATTTAACTCTGGCGTTGTGAATGTCCCACAGGTAGATGTTCTCGTGTGTGATTTGCATAGTGCACTCTCCGTAGATGTCCAGGTTTGGAGTGGGCATCAGGTATACATTAAATCTCTCTGGAAAACAAACAAAACTCACAGTCAACAACACTGACAGTTTCCTTAACAACAAAAAATGTTTTTGTTTTCTAGTTTTGCATTGTATGTCCAGGTCCAGAGCTGTCTGTCTGTCTGTCTGTTTGTCTGTCTATCTATCTATCCATCTATTGATGTGTGTGTCTATCTGTCTGTCTGTCTATCTATCTATTGATGTGTGTGGGTCTGTCTGTTTGTCTATCTATCTATCTATCTATCTATCTATCTATCTATCTATCTATCTATCTATCTGTCTATCAATGTGTGCCTGTTTGTCTATCTGTCTATCTATCTATTGATGTGTGTGTCTGTCTGTCTATCTATCTATCTATCTATCTGTCTATCAATGTGTGTCTGTCTGTCTATCTATCTATCTATCTATCTATCTATCTATCTATCTATCTATGTGTGTGTCTATCTATGTGTGTGTCTATCTATCTATCTATCTATCTATCTATCTATCTATCTATCTATCTTTTTGTCTATTTGTCTGTCTGTCTGTCTGTCTGTCTGTCTGTCTGTCTATCTGTGTGTCTGTCTTTCTGCCTATCAGTTTAACTCTTAAGTATTTTCTCTCCAATTGGAACACACAGTGTAATCTTCTCATACTGTTAAACTGTTTTGAGAACAAAACAAATTGAGTGGCAGAAAACCTTCTATTGATGTTCATATTTACCCAGGAAGCCCTACTAAATCAGCTGCAGTGAACTGTAGAAAAGAGAGAGCAGGAGAATTGCAGAGAAAACGTGAAGAGTCACCTCCTTTGACGACTCTCCACACAGCGTTTCCTCAGAAAACCAACTAATCAAACATGATTATTTTTTTGTTGTAATATTACCCCCGTCTCGAAAAGTGGCCCTTACGCGGACAACAAATAGTGAAGGTCAGCGAACTGTTGCCATGGAGCTTCCGTGGGGGAGGAAAAATGTTAAAAAATGCAGCGAACCATACCAGACTCATCACGCCATATCAATTAGCTCAGAAAAGAATAGAGCGCACTTCATAATCCAAATTAATCGCTGCTAATTATCCCTAATGTTTCAAAATAAGCTATGTGTCTTTCCACAGAAAGGCAACGTAATATAGGAGCTATTTTTGGTGAATTGTGAAAATGAAATCTGATATAATTATCAAAGCCCCAACATTAGGGACGTCTACTTCGAGCGCAAAGTGCTAAAGCCTCCCTCTCTTCTGCAGAATGAAAGAAAATGACCGTCAGCCTGAACTTCCAGCAGACACATGAGGTTTTGTTATGAAAGCAAATCAATATTTTCCAACCGTAGAAAAAAAAACGTCTCAAAGGGGACAGAAAAATATCATCTGGAGGTTAATGCTCGGATGAGTTCTGTACATGTTCTATTGATTTTACTAGATTATGTTAAAAGCGTGCACACAAATAAATGTACATTACTGTGCAAAAGTCAGAGACCACTCTTACTTTATTAAATTTTCAGGCAAAACAGCCATTAAGCACAAGTTATTCATTTTTCAGAAGATATTTCTGAGGAGATTAGATGTAAAATAACCCACTTGAATAAGCAAGCAGAAATTCAAAAGGAAAGGAAAAAAACAGGAGTTTCCAAAACCGAAGTTCAAAAAATGATAAACAGCTACAGAGAAAATGGGACTCCTAATAACCACCTGCAAGACCTGGCAGACCACCAAAACTGTCCCCATCAGATAAACAACACTTAAAGCTTTCATCTTTGAGAGAGAGAGGAGAAAATCAAGCTCCACTCTTGCATCAGATCTGAAAAAATCCACAGGTGTTTCTGTCCATCCTACCACTGAGAGAAGAAAGCACAGAGCTATGAGTCTGAAAGGATGTGCAGCTGTCAAGAAACATTTAATGGGAAAAAGTAAAACACAGAATCTGGACATCTGCAATGTGGAGTGAGGTTTTATGGAGTGATGAGAACAAAGTTTGTTATTGGGATTACTCAAATTGTTTGAAGCAGAAACTACTACCAACTTCTAAGACTGTACTTTGGTGGTGCATCTGATTTCTTTGAACAACTGAAATTAAGGTAAAACACAGGTGAACACACTGAACATTCTGATATTATATTTAGTTTCTGATGCTTCTGTGTATTTTGTGCTTTTTCCTGATGCTGAAAAATGAATAACTTATACAAAATTACTGTTTTGACTGGAAATTAAATGAACGGTGGTCTCCAATCTTTGCACAGTAATATACACAAATTTAATTTAATCTAATTTAAGTACTTGTCAACACTGTAACTTTACAGGAGAAGGCAAAAATGTTCTTCACTTTTAATGTAAGTTGATGTAAAGAGATTTTATTGCAACTAATTCTGGAACCTATTGATCCAAGTCAAGTCCAATGAAGCCAAAGTTTATTTATATAGTGTTTTTACAACAGGCATTGTCGAAAAGAAGCTTTATAGAACAATCCAGGTCCGAGCCCCCATGAGCCAGCCAATGGCAACAGTGGCAAGAAAAACTCCCTAAGGGCAAGAGGAAGAAACCTTGAGAGGAACCAAGACTCAAAAGGTGAACCCATCCTCCTCTGGTCGACACCGGATAACAAACAGTAACACAGGAGCAATATGAACAGAAAATAAGGTTTTACCATTAGAATAAAATATTAAAATACAGAAAAGGGTAAAAACAGAATGAGCAATGTTGCTGTGCTCAAATAATGTAGGAAAATAAAAATGGTCAAAAATTGAGATATTTGGGAGTTTACTGGACAGCTACACTATGTGTTTAAATACATTTACAAAACAAGGAAAGGAAAGCGTGTGTCGTCTCTGTTTTCTTTCATGTGTTATTTGTTGTTTCTTTCCATGCAGCCCTGCATATTTATTCTGCTTTGTTTAAGGCCCATAATCTCATCCATTTCTGTGACAGGCTTCATTACGGTCTGACCCACTGAAGCGCTGCCGCTTTCATTAGCATCCAGGACAGAACCTCCGGACAGCACACAAACACCGCCGGCCGGGACTGTGTTTAACAAACACGTTCTGGAGCTCGTAACAGAAACAATTAGTGAGTACAGGGGGAAAAAAAACTGCCTAAAAAAAAGAGTGCGTCTAATTGGACACTGACCGTTCTGTTCCCTCTGAACTCCCGCTGCTAACAGGTCCGGCTCGCCCAGGCTGATGTCATTAAGCCTGCTGCCCAAACACTCCAAACACAGCAACTTACACCACTCCTCTGCCTCCAGCTCTGAGGAGAAAAACATAAAAACACATACAGGCTTGTTTTTATACAGAGTCAGGTTGTGGGTCATATATAACTACCTTTCCATAATAATGATTATAATATCTCCCAAATGTATTATATATACAGTGCTGCGCAAGGTCAGAGACCACCCTTCAGTTACGTAACTTCAAGTCAAAATGGCATTTAGGTATGAGTTAAGTACAAATTATTCATTTTTCAGCATGTTTCAGTATTTAGTGTGTCCACCCTTTGCCTTTATTAGACCGTTCATTCATTTCAGGAGACTTGCTTTCAGTTTTTCAAAGAAATCTGCAGGAATATTTTTCTACACCTCCAAACAGATCTGAACAAGAGTGGAGCTTAATTTTCTCTCCTCTCTCAAAGATGGTTTTGGCGGTCTACCAGGACTTGCAGGAGTCCCATTTTCTCTGTAGCTTTCATTTTGACTTTCTCTTTCTTTATGCAAGGGGATTATGTTATATCTAATCTCTTCGGAATTATCTTCTGAAACATTATTTAACTTGTACTTACTAGCTATTCTGACTGGAAATTAAATAAATGATGGGTGATCTGTGACTTTTGTACAGTACTTTATGTGAGCATCTGTATGTAATGCCATATATGTATCATACATATCGCTGCTGTTGGATCAAAACCTCATATCTCCAAAATAGTAACTTTACAGGAGAAGGAAAAAACATACTTTACTTTTAACGTACGTCAATGGAACCAGACTTTTTTACACCTCATTTTAGGCCATTTCTTTTGACCAGTCCATCAGGCATTTTCAAACTATGTCAAAAACTGAAAAACGACAAAAATGGAGATAGAAGGTTTTGGTCCGACAGCAGCGATATGTAAGTATCTAAGAATGTGCTAAATTGTGTTTCTAATCATAATCCTAATCCTAAAGGGGAAACAAAGTCATTCAAAGTGGTTTAATGTGAAATGGTTCATTGTAGAGACTTTGTAGAGATGTGTAGCCATTTTATTTACAAAACTAACAGTGAACATACATGTGTCTTCTGTGTTTTTAAAGATAATGCTGTTAAAATAGTCGAACATCTGAAAAAAATCTGCAGAAACTTTTGAGAAATCACCGCTTTAACTTCAGGAAGCAAAAAGAAATGGTTTTGCCCTTTCAGTTGTACTAAATGAAACAGGGAGCTTCAGCAAAAAAAAGTACTTTACAAAGTCAGTAGCATTTGTTGGTCCTGTATGTTATCCTTGTTTTTCTTGTGTATGATCAATAGTTGTATTGCTTTCTTTGGCATAGTATACATCACGGTTTATAGGCTGCAATAAATCATGGAACATCCCCATCCCCCCACACAACCCCCTTCCCCTGCCACCTGGAAAAAAATGGTGGATTTTTGGATTTTTATATTCTGCAAATAGAACTTAAACAAGGAAATACATACAGCCATTAATAAATACATAGATAAAAAAAATTTAATACAAATGAAAATAAATAGATATATATCATCTGTGAGTAAACAAAGATCAAAAAGGAACGGCTCTTTAGTGAGGATGTAGTAAAGATTCCAGTAGTATAGTCCTGTTTTTCTCTGGTTCTCCTACAGGTCATTCAGAGCAGACAGCAACAAACCATGCACAGGTAACAAGAGCAGTAGAAAAAAATCAATATCATCGACTGAACGCTGATGGAAAGTACTTTATGAACAGCAAAACTTTTTGATGAATGTTGATTTTTTTTCTTCCTTCTACTTTGCTGTCTCTTACACATATAAAATGCTGTACATTACCTTTTTACATACACATGAGACAAAAGACTGGCTTGTGCATTAAATTCAGAACAATCAATAGTCTATTATCCGAGAGAGCGTAAGAGAGAGAGAGAGACGGTGAGAGAGAATGACAAAGTTGCATATGTCTGTAAATGAAAACACATTAAGGAAGTGATGAGTGGTCAGTGCACACTTCTTCACCAGACATTCATACTTCTTCAAAGGTACAACAGCGGGTTTAAGGTTCAATTGTGTACCTTAAATAGGTTTTTCCAGGTCAAAATTACATATTTGTACCTTTTCATAAACTAATGTTTTAAAACAGAATAATAAAATAAAAAGCCTGGAGACGAGATGGGGTGTGTGGTACCTTGAGGGTACCACCCTAGTGACAAGAGGGGTACCACCCCAGTGACAGTTTACTAGCTATATTTCTGAGTGTAACCTATATTTCTGAGTGTAACCATGTATTGGACTCGGACTCGGACTCGGACAAGCATTATATAAAAAGTAGCTCACCACCATTAGAAGTACATTCATTAGTGCTGCATGTAAATACAGAGAGGGCACGTTTGGGACACAGCCAAAATGTTTTTTAATCCTCTGATTCTGGTCTGAACTGTAACTCATTAAGCTGAAGATCAGCTCTGTCTCTTCCATTTTATTACAGGCGCCAAACAGGGTTTGCGACAGAGCAAGATGTTTGTAATCTGCCCCTTATTCTGAATAAAAATGGGATTTTCTACTGTTTGTTAAAATCAGTTGTCCCATGTCACCAAAAGACAACTTAATGATAACAAAACTTTTTTAATATGGTATGATGGATTTCTCTAAATTTGTGCTCAGGCAAACTCAGAAAAGACACAGAAGAAAATGTTTGAATTCAGGCTTAGTTTATAAGGAGTGTTTCAGCCTGGACTGTTTTTTGAATGCAGTACAAAACAGGACAGCCAATCAAAACAGAGCTTATTTACATATATGAGTCTTAAACAAGTAACAAAAACAACCTGTTTAATTCTAAGGGATAAAGTGAGGTTTGGAAAATAGTCATTACTGTTTTTGATACATAAAACCACACTAATGTTATAAATGAACATTGGGGAGGAAAAAAAAAAGAAAAATGTAGAATATGCGCCCTTTAATTCCCTTAAACAGTTTTTATGAACTCAACAAAAAGCATAATACACCATTTAAACATTTACCCCACTGTTTATGATGTGGGGGCAGTTTACTTTGTTATAGTGAATAAGTTTCTTTTTACTTTTGCACTCTTATTGTACTCTGTTGTACAAAATGCTAATCGTTACATTACACTCTAGGGTGCACAATGCTTAACCTAACCTGCCAAAAATTGCTATGTAAGAGCAAATGAAGCACAAAAATAAATTAATGAAATAAATATTATTAGTAGCAGTAATAGTACATTTTGCACCTCCTGACAACACACAGTTATTGCCTTAATAGTGTAAATTATCATAATTCAAGTCTGAGTTTGTATTGCTCACTCCTAGAAACATCACTCACTCGCTGTATGAGTCAGCAGGGTGTTCAAAGCGTTTTAAACCCCGGGGTGGGTCGGCCTGTCTACCCCAATGCTGCCTGCCTGCTGTCACTTTAATAAACATGGCCTCATTAGTAACACAGAGCCATCCTGCTCTGACATGTCCTCATTCATTACAGCAGCATTTTTAAACATGCATTCTTGGAATACATGCGGGAACACAAGGCTTCCTGCAAAAGGCAACGTCCAACCAGCGAGGTCAGCTGAGTTCAGCATTAGTCTCTGTTAACCTGTTTTAAATAATGATAATAATACTATTTATTAATAATAATTAGCAATATTATAATAAATGATATTACTAATAATAGTGGTTATTTGTGTTGTTATGTATTTTGTATTGTTGACATTTATTATTATTATTATTATTATTATTATTATTATTATTGTATACATTACTATATTAATATACACTGACTGGCCACTTCATTAAAACCACCTCCTTGTTTCTACACTCATTGCCCATTTTATCAGCTCCATGTACCATATAGGTGCAATTTGTAGTTCAACAATTACAGACTGTAGTCCATCTGTTTCTCTGCATACTTTGTTAGCCCCCTTTTACCCTGTGTTTCAGTGGTCGGGACCCCCACAGGACCACCAGCAGGTATTATTTGGGTGGTGGATCATTCTCAGCACTGCAGTGACATTGACGTGGTGGTGGTGTATTGGTGTGTGTTGCGCTGGTATGAGTGGATCAGACAGAGTATTTAAACACCTCGATGTCACTGCTGGAAGTCCACCAACCAAAAATATCCAGGCAACAGTGTCCTGTGGGCAGCGTCCTGTGACCACTGATGAAGAACTACAGGAACACAAACTGTGCAGCAACAGGTGAGCTACTGTCTCTGAATTTACATCTACAAGGTGGACCAACAGGGCAGGAGTGTCCAACAGTGGACAGTGAGTGGACACAGTGTTTAAAAAGTCCAGCAGCACTGCTGTATCTGATCCACTCGTACCAGCACAACACACACTAACACACCACCACCACGTCAGTGTCACTGCAGTGCTGAAAATGATCCACCACCCAAATAATACCTGCTCTGTGGTGGTCCTGTAAGGGTCCTGACCACTGAAGAACAGGGTGAACAGGGGCTACAAGTATGCCTAGAAAGAGATGGACTACAGTCTGTAACTGTAGAAATACAAAGTGCACCAATATGGTAAGTGAAGCTAATTAAATGGACAATGAGTGTAGAAACAAGAAGGTGGTTTTAATGAAGTGGTCAGTCAGTGTACATTACTGTAGGTTTGTACTGTAGGTTTGGTTGTTGTATTTGTTAACTAAATTAGCATATAGCAGTTAGCATTTACACAATAGCAGCGAGCATTGGACAATAGCAGTTAGCATATAACAGTTAGCATTTGCACAACAGCAGCTAGCATTTCACAGTTTGACAGCTTTTCTGTTGTTAACTGTGCCTAACTATGTTTTTTGGAAGGTTGAGAAGGAACTTTGCACCACTTAATGAGAGGCTCATAAAATTTTCTCTGATAGCAGTGCTGCTAAAAAAATAACAATAAGAAAAACATCTGCCATGATAATAATAATAATTATAATAATAATAAGAAGAAGAAAAAGAGGAAGAAGAAGAAATTGGGATATATCTGAGTTCAAAGTCTAAACCCCACATACACTATATGGCCAAAAGTATGTGGATACCCCTCCTAATTATTGAGTTATTGCTAACGGT